AAGTAGGCAAAGATTTTGATGAGGCAGGGTTTACACTCTAGATGTATTGTATTTTCACAAAAGCTGGTATACAGCATTAGTTTTAATTGACAATATTCTACTGTCAATGCCAAGAGAATTATACATGTATCTTCCTTTTCAGAGTGCAAGCATGAGAATCCCAGACCAACAGCAAGCAGCAAAAAGTTCATCAGCAAAGAAAGATACTGTGCCAACCATGTTCCGCTGGCGCGCTAATGCCAAGACTGTTGCCATGGCAGGCTCTTTTAATGAGTGGTCAACCAAGATACCTTTAAACAAGAGGTATGTTTGTTTGTGCCTTTCTTTATACTCGAATATGTATTACAGATTACCCCATTCAGCCTGCTTTTCATGGGGGTATGTGTTGTTGCCCAAATTTATTAAAGCTGTTGAAGTATTTTATCTGCATCCAAGCTACTAGTATCTTTTTTAATCTGTTGTCAAGGCCTATACTTACTTTCTATTGACACTTTGGCATCGATGTAACAGTTTATTGTCACCATAAAAATTCTAGGATAAATTACTAGTGACTCTATGCCCATGACTTGTTCTTTCAGCCACAATGACTTTGTGACCTTCATTGACCTACCCGAAGGAAGACATGAGTACAAGTTCTATGTAGATGGACAGTGGGTGCATAATCCAGATTTGGTATGTTTGATAGAAGTTTACTCAGTAGTCAGCACCTAAAGTACACATTATTTTTCTATGATGTATGTAAAATGATGTTGGTAGTAGAGAAGTGACTGATATTCTTTTATTGAAGTAATCACAAGATGAAAGGAAATTAAATGGTACAGTGCAGGTGCAGTATGCTTATGTATACTGTAATTTTCATGCACACAAAAAGGTTTTGAGTGTAAAGTGGGGAAAAGCATAGATGTAAAGATGTAGCCTAGCTTTAATGTAACTCCTTTTTTTCCCTTCCAGCCATCTGTGGATAACCAGCTGGGGACTTTGAACAATGTTGTGGAGGTGAAGAAGTCTGATTTTGAGGTGTTTGATGCTCTGGCGTCAGACTTGGATTCATTGTCTAGCAGTGCAAAAGGGGACACTACTAGGGGTGAGGACTGGCCTGGCTCAATTATGTCCAACTGTTGTAACTAGAGGGGTAAATCCCCTCCCTAGATCTTTTTACTACATGTATTAGTATGTTTCCAAATTAATGTGTTTGTACAACAGGGTTCGAAATACTTTTTTTCAGGTACGTGCAAAATTGCACATTGGCAAAATTTTTAGGTGCAATTTGAAAAATTTATGTGCAAAATTATATTTAGCCTTGCATCTTTAGGTTTGGAACTGTTTTACTGTGTATCAACCTTCTTAGCCTGCCACTGCATATAGAAGTTTTAGTATACATTAAAAAGAAGGGACCAAACAAAACATGAACAATGCAAGTATCATCTGTGTTTATAAAAAAAAAGAACACAAAAAAAATTTGTCGGCATTAGCTTCAAAGGACGCCGCTAGTGACCCCCGGCCCTCTCACTCGTCATAAAAAAAATTTACCAACAGTATGCGAGCAATAAATTTCATTTATTTTGCATATTTGTTTACCTTGAATATCGTGCACGATATAAGGAAAAAAATACTGCTTAGAAAAAAATAACGTCCGGTTAATTTTTGCTTCTTGGCGCTCCCCTCCCCCTCCTCTGGGGGCGCGTCGTCAACATCGGCCGCGGGATCCTCGGAGACGGTGGACCCGGTGGCATCTCCCGATCCACCGCCCCCGGCTGCACCAGCCTCTGGTCCACCGCCACCGGCTGCACCAGCCTCTGATGCCGGCTGGGCCCGTGAAAAGAACTTGAAAATCGACCCCTTCTTCATGGGCCCTTCTTCATGCTTTACAAATTTCCTGGGTAGCACTGAATGCTGGGAAATCCGAAAACTCTGTTTTTCACCGAATTTTACCGAAAATTGGACGAAAAAGCCGAAATTACTCTGCCGAAGGACTTCGTACCACATCGGGCAACAAGTTTCGCGGGTCTCACCATATTTGGTAAATCAGCTACGTAGGCCTTCGCGTCTTGCCATATTAGGTAAATCATTACGTAATGCCTTCGCGTCTTCACCTGGGGACGAGAGCAGCTTGTTCCCAGGATGTTCAGTAAAGAAAACAATATGGCTGCCATGCGCCCAGCGCGATGCCGACACAGCAAGAAACTTTGGAGATACGCAGTGCAAACATGATATATCGGTATTGTCCAGGTGCAAAATTGCACATTCAAAATATTTTTAGGTGCAAATCTTGAAAATTACGTGCAATTTGCACATTGCACCTTTGTATTTCGAACTCTGGCAAATTTGTGGAAGTCGAAAATGTCAAAAAGTCAATACAAGATAATTAATGCAAATTAGTCAGAAAGCTCCTGTTAATGAAGGTTAGACCTGGATGTCTAACCTTTATCGACATAAAGGAGCTCCTTGCTTATACAATACAGTATAATAAAGTAAGACAAAAAACAAACTTGACAGTTGAATTGAGAAAGTAAAGCATGACGAAACTTATATTTTCATTTTCAATGTTAGAAAAAAAATTGTACAATGTTTCACCACAATGTCAGATCATGGAGCTATAAAAGGTCAATCAACGAGCAAAATTTATGTCCCTTGTAGGGGTCCACACACAAGAAAAGGCTGCGCATTGTCATAAAGATATTCTGGGAATTTAATCAATTACTAGTAACATTTGACTAATTGCAGGACGGTGTAATTCTGGGTGCAGACACCAGGGCTACTGAAGACACCATCGTAGCCGACAAGAACTGCTCCAAAATCCACTTCATCGCTCCTAACATATAGTAAGTATTATACAAACCACACACAGGATAGGTAATGTATTTTTCTTTTAACACTATACAATATACAACAGTAAAGAATTATAATTAATTTAGATATGCCTGTACACTGTGTACAGGTATGTATTGGTACATTGTAGCTGTACCTGTATGGTATTTCTAGAGAAAGCTAGGGCACATATACTGTAGGTACAGTACATTTTGTGCATGTATAAGACTGAGTAAGTGCATCCCCAAATTTTACCTGCACCACTCAGAATTAAGAGTATATGGATCACACTAAAACTGATAAAAAAACCTACTAAAAGTACTACATTTCTTTTATACTTGAACTTGATAGGTCATGGGTAACAATCAATGTAGCAAATACAAATCGGCATCATTACATGTACACCTACATGTGTATTTGTATATAAACCTAGTACATGGACTGGAGCAGGTTAGGTGCAGGTAGACATCAGAAACACAAATTTACCTGCACAGCTCCAATTTCACCTGCACAAAGGTGCATACGCACCTGATATTTCGAGCCCTAACACCTGTTGCCTGTTTGCAGCTGCTGTGGTGCTGGTACAGCTGCTGACACTGAGATGACGACACAGATGATCTCCTCGAACCTGGAGCTGCATCGGCTGTCCACCGGGCGCGAGGGGCGCGTCTGTACAGCCAACAGGATGCTTAAACAGTTCCTCTTCAGGTAACACAGATTCTCTCTCTGTCTTATTGCCTTTGCCAGAAGGGTAGTGATGCATACTGGTTCACTGGACTTGGATCCGGACTTGTAAGAATGTTTAGGTTCAAGTCCAAAAAAACCTAAAAGTCAAGAACCGAGTCCGGACTTATTACCAAAAAAGACCATTTCGCATACCCCTTTTCTTTCCAAACCACTTCCGTAGATTGTAAAATCTTTACTGCAAATCGAATTTATTGTTATGTGGTCAAAGTTTCACCCAGACAACATTGCAAGGTTGCCAACATGCAACTTTGTACATGTCATGGGTTTAGGTCCGGACTTCCGGAACTGAACCTAAACTTCTGGACTTAAATCCTGACCTGAACCTAACATTGGGTTTAGGTATGCACCACTACAGAAGGGTATGTTTTAGGTTTGGGCTTGGGTGTGGTGTGGGTCTGAATGTATGTCAACCCAATCATAACTCAAGAAATTGTGGATGGGTCTCCATAATATTTGCTATGGGAATGGCAGTTGTGGAAACAAAGGTCTAGCCCAAAATGGTCCACCTAGCTTTTTTAAACGGTACTGCAGCGGGATTTTTGTGCATTTGTTGATTGTATGTTTTCTCATTTTTCTGCATAACTCAAGAAGCTGTGAATGTTCTTCTTCATATGTACAAAAACAGGCCACTACAATGTACAGCACTTCTCAGTTTAGAGAAGAATACTGTAATTCCTAATTTTTTTCACTGCACTGTTATAGAATCACTGTTTTCACTGTCTCTCCTGTATCGTGAACTTATCATTACAGCTAATGAATAATTCCTGGACTTTCTTTTTCCTGCACCTGTCACCACTGTGAATATTTAGTTCTGTGAACATGTCTACTTTTCTCAGAGTGTGAACTTTTGCTACAGTGAACATAAAGTGAATTACAGTAACTGTCACAGTGGTACCTAAGATTCCTGTCACACCTCTAACAATGTCATGAAGCCGTGCTGGTCAGGCTCAGAGTCATGGTCGTTAGGCTCCTGTTCTAACGGCTGCCCTAACGCAGCCCTCAGTCTCCTCCAGAACAGGGGATGCTCCCGCGGGTCCTCCGGCCACTCCAGGTACGTGTCGCGGTCCACCACGGCCTGGAGGTGGCCATACTGTCGCACCAGCGGGCGCGGGATATCCTCCAGGAACACCAGGATGAGACGTATCCCCCCTCCCTCCTCAAACATGGTGTGCTGGGCCAGCTGGAACTCAAACTGACACCAGCGGCTGCGCAGGAATCTCCTGGTGATGACGCAGACAATTTTCCTGCTGCTGTCCACCGCCATCCTGATGTTGGTTATAACGGGAATCCCCGCACGGAAGTCGCGCTGGTGGAGACACAGCCGATAGTTCGGCCGGCTCACGGAATGTTCCAGGTTCCGGGACAGGTCTCGCTCGACCCACTGTCTGTCTCCATGGTGATGAGCGACGAAGGCGTCGAAGACAAACCTGTGATCGCCATCGCGTACCCGCACCACTCTGTCTCGGTTCCTCAGCCTGTACCACAGGTCACGCAGCTTCCAGTAGTAGTAGTTCACACAGAACGTGGTCATCACGAACAGGAAAATACCCGAGGAAGAAAGTAAGCTCGCCAGCCATAAGTTTGGCATGAAGACACCTTCACACACGGAGGGAAGGACTCGTAGAGACTTTCCTTGTTCTCTCGGAGGTGCAGCACATGTGAGGCATTTGTGAACCAACCAATGACCTTCTCTCGTTGGCTATTTGCTTTGAAAACAAACCATAAGAGATCACAGTCACAGAAAAATGGATTGTCCCGTAGATCTATTTTCGGTACACGATCTAAGACCTTTTCGAAGACTGTCTCATCCAAGAAGCTGATCTGATTTTGCTGAAGCTGTAAAACTTGTAAGTTATCTAAACTGTTTAAAGCTTTCTTTCCGAATGTTCGGATTTGGTTATTGCTTAGGTCCAGTTCAGTTAGGTTGTGTAGCCCCTTGAAGGCATCATCGGGGATTGTTGCAATATTGTGTCCTTTAAGATGGAGTGTTTTCATCTGTTTTAAGCCATAGAAAGTGTATGGCTCAACTGCTACAATCACGTTATGTTCTAGATTCAAATTGTCTAAAGCCCACAGCCCATCAAAAGCCCAGGATGTCAGATTAGTTAGTCTATTATCAGCCAAATTTAGCCGCTCTAACAGTACAAGCCCGGAGAAAGCTTCCCTCTGTATTGATCTGATCCAGTTGTGAGCGAGAGACAGGTGTGTGAGGTTCCCCAGTCTGCTAAAGGAACCTGGTGTTAGAGTGGTGAAGTTGTTTCTGTCCACGTCCAAATGACGTAAGTTGTACAGACCCTTAACACCTTCCACCGTGCTGAGATGGTTTGAAGACAAGATAAGATACTGAAGACTAGATAGATCTTCAAAGGCCGTGCCTTCGATGAAAAGGATTCCGTTGTTTTGTAAGTTCAGCCAAAACAGACTGTTCAGACCGTTAAAGTAGTGTGTCTTGATTTTTGTAAGGCTGTTGTAGCTTAGTCCGAGATGTGTGAGAGACCGCAAACCGTGGAACACACGCTCGGGAAAGTCTGACAGCCTGTTTTCTCCTAACTCCAGCCGCTCTAAACGCTCCAAGCCAGCGAAGGAGTAGGGTTCGACTGAAACGATGGAATAATCTTCCAAGTTGAGTCGTGTCAGATTCGGTAGGTTGGTGAAGCCTCCCTCCTGCAGCCTGCTTGATTTGATTGTAGGGTACCACTCGTAACGCTGACTCACTGTCAGCTTTGTTAGACATGGAAGTAAAGGAAATGTATCTTTCCTTATGGTGTCCAAATCAGGGCTTCCTCCTAGGGTCAGGTCTTCTATCTGTAGCCCTGCTAGTTTATTTCTCAGTTGGGAAAACGGGACAGGATTCGACTGGAGTTTTAGAGACTTCAGGTCAGAAAAAGACGTCAGCATCCGTCCGTCTATGTGACTGATGGAGTTACGCTCGAGCTGAAGGGTTCGTAGAGGTGTGGAGAAGAGCGGTGCGAAGTCTGCCATCGTCAGGTTTGTTAGCTCATTCCTAGAGAGATCCAGAGTGTGCAGGAGAGAGAAGTTTTGAAAAGCCGCCGCAAAACGTGCGAAAGACAACAAGTTTTCAGACAAGTCGAGCGATGTCAGCCGCACTACTGATGACCAAAGTCCCTCAAGTTGTAAGATTTTGCTGGTAAGATAATTGTTCGAGAGATCTAAGTGTGTTAACTCTTGCAGTGGGCGAAAGGCTGTTTCATCCATATCTGAAATAAGATTGTTTCTGAGGTTGAGATTTTGTAACTTGTGTAGTCCACGAAAGGAGTTTTCTTGTACAGTAACGATGTCGTTCGATCCAAGATTCAAAGAAATCAGGTTCGCCAAGCCTCGAAAACTTGTCGTATTTCCCAGCCTGACTGGGTCGTACCATTTCCAGTTGAGGGACAACTCCTGTTGTTCCAGAGAAGGTAGAAAATCCACCAGTTGAGGCAGCAGAGAAACGTGAATCCTGTTTCCGGATACGTTTAGCGTCCGCAAGTTTTTCAGAGGCGCGAAAGTTGCGTTTTCGATGTGTTTTATCTTGTTCCACCTCAAATCTAGGTACTGTAGGTTCACCAGTGCACCGAAATCTTTACACCGTAGCTCTGTTATACTGTTATCATGTAGGTCCAAGTGTAGAGTAGATGGTGGAATACTTGTAGGCACTTTGGTCAGTCCTAGTTTGGTACAGGTAATGTTCAGGGTGGTCCACTCTTCACATTCAGAAGGGTTTAACTTTATGGATCCTGGGTCACCTTTTGTCCATATTGTGAACAAGCAAAGACACAGAAAACTGTGGATACAGTAGTGGGACTTGTGTGGGTTTCCCATTATTGTTGTTGTATAAGGTGGTGTTAATTTCCTTTTCAAAGTTTATGTATATGTTGTGTTCCTCCTATAGTTGAATTGAATCTGGAATCAAAAGAATACAGAAGTTGCAGTCATTAACGGATTCGAAGTGGAGCCTACATGAATGCGTAAGATTCAGCATCTATTCCTGAGTCAGGGCTGGAAATACTGTGTGCATGTGCACCTTAGTGCACCCAAATTTGGAGCTGTACAACCAGTTTTTTTCTGTGGGTGCACCATTGCACACAAATATTTTCATAGGTTTAACGTATCAATTGTTTACAGATGTTAAATATAGTAGTTACAGCATATTCTAAACATCTAAGTGTCAGAAAAAATTATTGTTCTAGACTACCAAGTACTTTTCTTGAAATGAAACATAATGATAGACTTTATAGACATTCTACTTATTTTATCTTATATGGTGCAACTAAAATATTTTTAGTGCACCCAATTTTTTTAGCTTGGGTGCACCAGGGCACCTATTCCCAAAAATGAATTTCTAGCCCTGTGAGTACAGTGCTCTCCTGCTACATTGTATTTGCATTACCGATTTATCAGGAAATTTTACTCCTATAACAGGTTTAGTCCAATAACCGTTAGGAGAGTCCACACGATCGTCAGGGAAGGGATTCAAATGTATTCAGTTCTGTTTGAGACTACAGACAGTTTGGTACAGACTACAGACAGTTGTCTCTATTAATTTGGTTGTATATTGCTGACCCCTGTCAATGCCAGCCTTTGTTGTTTTATTTTCTTTGCTTTCTTTTCAAAATTTGTTGACTCAAAGCTAGTTAGTCTTTTTCTGGAATTCAGAACAAAGGAAGGACACCAAATAGTATTAGTGATGCATGTAACAAACGCATACATTCAAACATTATTACCCCTCCAAGGAAATAATTTTAAAAATCTGCCTACAGTACTCTCTGTTCTACTTTCATATGTTTGAATTTAGTTTTAAATAGACATTAGTGTTAAACAATGTTCTTAGTCTTACCTGGATTATGAGTCTTTTTCCTGTAACTTTATGGCTGGTTGTTTTCTCTCGATGTTCTCTCTTGTTCTTCAAAGACTGTACTGTAACAGTTGTACATATCACCAAACTAGGCTACTAAACTGTTATCTGAATGATAACTAAGGCCCACTCTAGACGAAGCATTTCGCGACAGCGGTAACTGCCGACAGCGGCACGCCGACAGCAGGAACGCCGTCTAGAGAGGATTCCCGACAGCGTAGTCCCGCTGTCATGAAATTTTCTGACGACAGCTCCAAAGTTGTCGGCCGACAACTAAGCGGGAGTCCCCGACAACTTAAAGTGCGTATAGAGTACTCGCGACAGCGGGAGGTCAGGGTTCAGTTTGTCACAGAGCATCTAAAATGTTCCCCTCGACATCCTGAAGCGCCTGTAAAACTCTGTATCGCACAGTGTGCCTTGAACAAATTTTTGCCAAAAGGTCGACAGGATCACCACCTTTTGCCATTAAGCAATGGCAGCGGGGAGGTAAGCAGGGTGTATTCTTGCTGCGCGACGTGTCAGCAACATCTCCCGGTATCTCAACCGTCTCCGTCGTGCACCCCTTGCTCGTCGCCTCATATTGGACAAGACGCGAGTGACTAACATAAAGAAAAACATCTGACACACGGCAAGGAAAAACATTGGCGGCTCCCCCGCCCTTTTGGATTTCACGCGTTAGAACATTCGGATGTTCGATGTTCGATGCGAAGACATTTGTGTGTATAAAGACGTCGCGACAGCGGCGTCCCGACAGCGGGAAAT